TGGCTTCCAGCCACGGTTACCGAGGTGGTAGGTTCCCGCATGTACGTAGTCCAGCTTGCGGACGGGCGCAAATGGAGACGGCATGTGGACCAGTTGAGGCAGCGGTGGGCGACTGGCCGCCCCACCTCGCAGCCAACCGAACTACCTGATCCCGAGGACCTTCCACAACCTCTCCCGGAGGTGAGTACCGATGTGCCCGAGGGCCCCAGTACTGTCCGCGAGTCAGGGCAGACCCCTACTCAAAGACCCATTGCTAGTGGTGGAAGTGCTCCTGACTCTGAGGCCCCAGAGTCGTACAATACTCCCCAGAATGAAAGGTGCCCTGAGCCTGTACAGCTACGCAGGTCTCAGAGATCGCGCAGAGCGCCATTGTACCTAAGCGATTATGATTGTACATAGTGTTTTTGCTTAGGGGGGAGGGATTTGTTATGTATTGACTTGAATGTAAATACTGATATGCGAATCGCCTGATTGAGATGCCATGTTGAGCTTCATCCTGGGCTAGGATCCTAATGTAACCAATAGGAGCCCTAGCCCAGAAAGTGTCTGCCAATCACCGTGCAGAGCGGGATCGCTTGTGATTGGTCCTTATTGCTTCAACCTCATAGGTTGCTTTATTGTACAGTGGGTGTGGCTACATTAGCCGGGAGTGTTTAAATATCGACAAGCCAGTGTATTTATTTCGATGGGTTCTGGCTGGCGATTGTTGTACCGTAACGGAGAAGTAACTGAGCTGAAGAATAAACCGCATTCTTGCTGAAATCACTCTCCGACTCTTTGTTAAGCGCACGACTTAACAGTTACTTTCTTTGCCCTATCAATTAGAACACAAATAGTGCATTTCTTGTGTCCAACTGCCAGGGAGCTCTGTCCTTTAAAAAAGAACAAAAGGGGAAAGGAAAGGAATATGGAGCTTTGAGTTCTTCACTCCGTGGATCTCTTCCTGTGCCTCTGCTTGTAGAGATTAGGTAGACGGCAACTAGAACTAGCGGTGGTGTCTTGCCTTTGAAATGCCTCCACCCTTGCCTCATCTGGCAATTACTTTGCTGTCTTTTAGGCACCAAGCCAAAGTCCTTTATTATCTTTTACTTATTTTTACAGCTACCTTCTACTTTACGACTATTTTATGTGCCCCACAAAAATTGTTCTTACGCTTCTGAGTACTGTGTTTGTGCTTATTTTATCCACTGTTTTTAATACTGATACTTTTTATGTTTGTTTTTATTTTGTTGGATTGCTTTTACCTTTTTTATAATCTAATTTTTATTGATTTTCTTACTACACACTACAAAACTAAAACTACAAAAGAGAGTAACAAGGTACTTTGATAAGCTATTCATACGCTTTAGATATATAATAACTACATGTTAGAAGTTGTGTTCAGTTCTTTAAATTCTAATAAAAGTTCAAATAGAAAGAGCAAAAAGACATTATTGGTATATCGCATCTGGTTGATACTATAAATTCATTAAACGTCAACATAGGCAATCTCAGATCTTTCACCTAGGTTTCTTCTTAGCTTTACTTTTCTTGTTCTTTTGCCAGGGAGATTTACTTTAAAGGTTTTAGGAAGATTGCTTTTCCCTTGTAAGCCACTTTGAGCCAGCTTCTGGAGAAGAGACATATAACTTTTTGTAAACACGGGTCTTCTTTGGGAGGACAAGGAGACAGGCTGTCATGTCTTCCTTGTCTACTCATGGTCTCTCAGGTGGGCAGCGCAGGATGGGGTCTGTGGCTGTTTCAGGAGCGCAAATAGCTCCGTTGCTCTATCTCAGTCAGCAGTGAAAAGAGGTGCACCAGTCCTTAAGCAGTTATTCCCATCTCCCTCCTCCCTAAAAGGGCAGCTTTCTCGGCCAAGTGTACTACTGGAACAAATGCCACCTTGTGTAAATAGATGGAAAAGCTGTATTATGCTGAACGAATTCTTCAGCTTGAAGCTATAGAGCAAAGTGGAGTTCAGGGTACAAATTTCACCACAGATGGGCTCGTGCCATGGTAGCCTGGTACACCACAAGTTACTCCGCAGTTTGCATAAATCCTTGGAAACTAACATAAAAGAATATTAGGCCCCAGTCACACGGGCCAGATAACACCGGGGGGGGGAGGCGTGGCTGTTTGCCCCAGAGCAAAATAAAGTGCGGTAGCCCGATCAGCCCGATCACACGGTCCCCAAAGTCTTCGCGCTTAGGCTGTTAGCTGGCGATCACACAGCGATGCTGGAGCGTGGCAAAGTGGCGCGGCAAGCGTTTCACGTTTGTGCGGATGCGCAGTTCCATGGAGCAGCACTTTCAGTTATGTATTTGTGCGCATGCGCTTACAAAAACCATCCGGTTTGCAATGGGACGTGGACGGGCGCTGGATGCCACGGGATACTAGCACTCCCGTGATCAGATGCCTGCCCCTGCCCCGTGTTTTCCGGATACTAGTGCACTTTCCGAGGTAGTTTTTTACTGCAAATCTTCGGCGGGACGCCACAGGTTGGCCACGGGTGCACTACACTTCCCAGATGTTGCTGTGTGATCGGGCCCCAAAAATCCGCCTGACATTCGTGCCTTTAGCGCGGCAAATCCTCCGTGTGAACGGGGCCCTAATTGATCTTCCATAAAGCTACTTGGAGGTTATTCCTCAGTTAAAAGCTGCCAAACAAACCATGTCATGTGTAACCTGGAAGTATTGTTCATATAGGGACGCTTCAAATGTATATGAGTAATGGCCTATGTAAGTATGTAGGGAAAGCAGTACAAAATTGCACCTGTCTACCCAACACATTGTCCCGCAAAAGTTTTAACACTTGGTTTCTCTGGGCACTCTGCCAACATCTATGAAGGATCAAATAAAAACGACAACTCCCATTGAAGTGATAAATATTTTATTAAGTTTATGAAATCTTCCCCAAAGGAATGTGTTGATCTGAAAAGAATTAGAGAACGCACTTATGCTGTGCAACTATCTACTTTAGCTAGCAAGATGAAGCAGCTAAGAGTTGATCAAAGTTTATCAAAGGCCAACGCCTATTCAAGTCTGATTTGACAGTCTGCAGACTAAAACCTGTACTATACAAGGAAATTAAGAATTTGTTAATGCTATTGCTGAACAATTACACCACATTACACCACAGCTGGCCATATTGTTTGGAATTTTTTTAAACACAATTAGCTGCAAGGATTTTTAAAAATATAGATAACAGCTTGTTCTGTCCTACTTAAACAAACATATAAAGGTTCTTGGGTAAACCTTAATCAAAAATGTGTCTACTATAAACAAGAACTTCCTCCATGTCTACTTTATACATAGTAATTAGCTGACTGAAATTTTAAGTAAAGGAGGTAGTAGTGAAGGCTAGACTTTGGGTCTGGCTAAAAAGAATAATACCAAATTCAGATATTTGGTAGAACCATATTAAAATAAGTTATGGATAAGAGAATGTTGCTGAACTTGATTCCAAATGACAGAAAAACTAAGTCAACTTTATTGTCCAAGTTGGTAATATTCTTCTATCTTCGTCAGTATAAACTTAGTGCAAAACAACTGCCTTCTCATCTTCAACAAGGGAGGGAAGGCATCACTATAATCCCAAGATGCTCTCAGTCATCACTGTCGCTTCCGGATTCACTTAACTGGAGATCATTCCCTAAAATTAAAGAAAAGTCAAAACGTCAACTTTGTTCCTCTCCATTCAGCAGTAAATCTAAGCATGCCTATTCTGAAACAGCACCAGATGCTAGCAGTTCCTTATGCCACCTTCAGAAACTGTGGTCATATGATCAGCTAGGCGACCATCGTCTCTAACACTAGCCTGCCTTACTGTCCTTGAAAGCAGCTCTTCTTGCCAGTAAGAAATATCGGCAACAAAAAAGTCAGAAGGCAGCAATGAAACGGAACTGCAAATCATGTTCGGACAGTGGTACAATTCTGTGTGCACGCTGCAAACGCAGGGAACAAAAGACTCAATTTCCTTTTTTTAAAGAACATTTTAAACATTTTACATTATAACAGACAAAAAGACCCCATTATTCTATACATCTTTAAAATTTATTTATCCCGCCCTCCCCACGGACAGGCTCAGGGCGGATTACATTCATTGGTACAAAGTACCATAAATCCACATAAAACACATTAAAAACAGTTAAAACATTTTGAACAGTCAAATAATCACAGTGCTTCAAATAATCCCAAATCCCAAAGTAAATTCTCAGTGCAAACGTACAGGCAGCTTGCATGATCATTCTGACTGCATTATGGAACTTTTACCAACATAGCCTCTTCTGAAACACTATTTGCATGCAAGAAGAGGAAGAGAAGAGATTGGATTTATAGCCTTCCCTCGGAGTCTCAGAGTGGCCTACAAACTCCTTCCCCTTCCCCTCCCCAAAACAGACACCCTGTGAGGTAGGTGGGGCTCAGAGAGCTCTGACAGAAACTGCTCTTTTTCAAGGACAGCTCTTATCAGAACTACGGCTTGCCCAAGGTCATCCAGCCAGTTACAAGTGGTGGAGTGGGGAATCAAACCTGGTTCTCCCAGATTAGAGTCTGTGCACTTAACCACTACACCAAACTGGCTCACTTGAGTCCTTGGAATAAGATAAGGTATAAATGGCCAAACAGATAAATATGGGTATAGATAGCCTGTAAGCATTGTTTGTTATGGAGGTTCGAAGTATCGAGTACAAAAGAGCAAGAGTCCAGCAGCACCTTAAAGACTACAAAATTTGTGGCAGGGGATGAGGTTTCATGAACTATGGCTCACTTCTTCAGATACACAGCTACCCGTCTTTAACCATCTCAAAGTATCAAGCTTCTTTGTTACTACAAAACCTACACAGAGAAGCTGAAAGGCTAAAGGTATTAACACAGTAACTTCTCAAAATAAAAAAGAGCTATTTTAATAATATGAACTAGTGTAGATGATCAAAGTAGTCACTCAGTCGCCACATATATTATTACAGAATTAGACTAAAAGAGTTTGCAGGTAGACCTTCCCTATCAGCTTTACCCTTGAGAATACAATGCATAAGTAAGTTATGTATGTACATAACAAAGAAGGTATGTGATAAGCTGAAGCTTAGCATGTCTGGTCTTACAACAAGTAGATCCATCATTCTGTGGTTCAGTGGAAGTTAGATCATATTGCACCAGACGCTGAAATAGTTCTTTTTGAGGAAGCTGTAATTTGGACTTCCAGTACAAATTACTGGTTTTTAATCTCAAAGTATAGAGCTCTGAAGAAGCCAACGCCATCGGTAACATTGTAAATGGCACAAGCTCAAATTTAGTATCAGTGATCAAAACAGCTTTTATCCCGACTTCTTCGTCAATACCAGTAGGCCAAACTCTCATATCTAGATGTGGTTTCAATTTCATGAGTTATAAAAACATGTAGCTTCCTTTTAAATTTCTGAAGTCCAAGTTTAGCAAGGTGCTCTTCTTATGTACTTACGCAATGTGTTCATCAGATGTCCCCTGTTCTCTTTCCTTCTGTTACATCCAGTATCCGCGTCATGGAAGGTCCGATGTGACACAGCAGACACAGGAGGCTGTGTTTGCAGGTGTGGCGTTGGCAAGGGAAGGGGTGGCTTTTCATCTTCTGAATCACTAGAACTATTTTCACTGCTTGAAGAGGACGGAAGGGGTGGCTTTTCATCTTCTGAATCAGAACTATTTTCACTGCTTGAAGAGGATGACGAACTCTTTGATTCTGATGAACTATCAGTGGTACTCATCTGCTCTATAACTTTAGCTTCTGCCTTGAGCTCTGAAAATAAGAATTTCCAAGATGAAGAACACACAGTTGACTGTTCTATAGTCCACGCCCAATATAGAAAGTTAAGACTGAAATGGAGTTAACTAAATAATCAGACAATGAGGTAAGAAGGTTTTTCTATCTTGTTTATATATTCTTGCCAATGTGGTATAATGGATGGCATGGCAATCTTGAACTGGGAATACCTCAGATTCAAATATTCTACTGTCATGAAGGCTAGCCTAACCTGCCTCACAGGCTGACAAGTATTCAAGAGGGGAGGTGTAATGATCAAACACAGTCATAGCAGTAGCTGTTTAGTAGGCCATACCTGCACAACTAAGATGAGCTGGTCACATGAAAACTGACTTCAGTAAGCAATCGTATTGCATCAGCTGCCGTACCATCACAACCAAGGCCTTTCAGCCTGTTGAACTGGCAAGCAAAAAACCAATCCAGACTCAGTGTTATTTTTACGTAACTAGCCCAGTACCTGTTCATATGGGTAAGAGCTAGCACAGCTTGACTGAAATATGACTGCCAGGCTCAAGCACCTGTGTGAATGTACCCAGATTATTAATATCTATCTCAAGATTTGCTTTGAAAAGCTCTTCAAATCTTCAGTGCATAACTAAATAAACAATCAAAGCAGAGGGTGGAGAAAAGACAGGAGTAGCAGAAAATCAATATAATAATGCTTGCAAGAACCTTTGCCAGTCTAATACATTTCTTCTCCCAACTTTACATTAATGATTTTACAACAAAATATCAGGGATCTAGATGCACTGATTTTCTTATCAGAATGTAAATTTTTCCCTATGTCCTTCCCCTTTTATTGGCTTGCATAGAAGCTAAAACTAAGAGGAAACCATCAGGTGACATGCTTCACGTGCAACGGTGTGCGGGACGGGGGCTGTTTGGGAATTGATGATTCACTCAGAACAAATTCTAACTGAATTAACCAACGCTAGAGAAAATTGTCAGTTTTAATGTGCCCTTGAACTTCCTTCCCTGAAGTTCTGGTTACTTTTAAGTGGTTATTTAGGGAATTAAATGGCAAGACTTTTGGTCAGAATTTCACTACAAAGAAAAACCGCATGGAAAAATTCTTTGCATTGTGTTCAAGGACCCTGCCTCAGAAGGATGCTTTTACTATCAATTAATACTGCTACAACCTGCCAGCCGTAATTCACCAACCAATTAACATCTTCTTCCTCCTCAGACTCCAAAGGGACGTTCAGCGTATTTGAATTAATGAAATATTCCAACTAAGAATTAAATCTTCTCAGAAGGAAGTACACAGCATTAATTCCCAACCATTAGAGGTTTCTGGAGCCAGCTTCCCTACCATAGCCCAGATCTTATTTTGTAAAATGAAACAATACTTGAAATCCCTCCTGTACCAGAGGCAATCATGGACATTTAGTCACCTGATTAACCAAGGTAACTGAAAGTCATATTTAGGCCACTAGAATACTTGTTATATTTGCAAGGTAATTTAGTCAAGTTCGCACATAATGCATTCTTTCAACTGTTGTGAAGGAAATTCTTAATGTATGAGTGTAATTTATATCTTGCACAACTAGTAAAATATGCAACCAGTAGGTACACTTTCATTAAAAACCTAGTTAAAACTTATAATATACAAAAATACAAGTATTCATTAGAAAGACAGTTAACATATAAGGGCCCAATGAAAGCCTTGTAAAAAGTATAGCCTAAACACAAGGGCCAATCCACATGACCTGATGCGTTTCTGCCCTATTGGGGCCTTCAGAGGTCAAACAATATTGAGGTACACATAACTTAAGATTTGTTTTCCCCTCCCTGTGTCTTACACGCTTTCATTAAAACCTTCGTCCAGCAGCAAGCATTCTCAGAATTAGGGACATAGCCAAAGCAAGTCAAGGGAAAGGCAGAGAGGAATACACATACTGTCACCATTTCCAGAACCAATAGGGATAGACATACAAGTGACAGACAAAAACATTAACTGCTATCTTTTACACTATTTCTGCACCAGGATTCTAATAGGGTAGCACTGCTATCATTACCGGAATCCATTCATCTCTAGTGGGAGATAAACATTACATAAACATGCTTTAGCAGTTTTTAAAATGACAAGTTGCAGATGGTTTTGATATCCCCTTAAGCAATATTGTTATTAAATTTGTTCAAAACCCATTGAGTCTGAAATTTGCGGAGAAGATACTACTTGTTCATCCTGTGCTACATTTTTATAAAGGAGACAAGATTTTGGTCTGTTTATTTCTAATAAGCTTAACCTGCAAATTAATATATGGGTTATAAACCAACTACAACAGCCCAGAGAATTACAACGAACTGATTTGTGATTTTCTGTATCATTCAGAGGACTGATTCGGCTGATGCCTTCTTTGCAATACTCCCAAGTCAAAAGCGGCAATATAGTCCTAGTTTTTATTGGTGATACTGTGATTGAGCTGCATCACTTAAGACTACAATGGGGGCTCATATTATTAACACATCCACATGCAGGGGTCATTTCGTAGAAAAAGAGCTAGGGGAACTCATTAGCATAACTCATTAGCATATGCCACACCCCCTGACATCACCGGAAGTGTGTCATAAGGCCACACCCCCTGACATCATCGGAAGTGTGTCATAAGGCCACACACCCCGCCCCCAACGGTCCCGGCCGCCGCCGGCCTTGCAGCTCTACTGCCGAGCCCCATGAGGGGCCCGGCGGTGGACCTGCAAGGCCGGCGGGAGTGCAAGGAAGCCCCGCGAAGGCCCTCCCTGGCCCCAGGCAGGCAGGGGTGGGGAGAGGCAGGGAGGAAGCAACTTACCCTCCCTCTTCTCCTGCCTCCTCCTGGCTGAATGAGGGCCGGAAGCGGGGTGGACGGAAGCAGGGGGCTGGGCTTTACCTCACCCGGGGGAACTGTGTTCCCCCCCCGAAATGACCTCTGCCCACATGCAGAAAAAGAATGCTTTCCAAAGAAAATTAGACCTTCTGCCAGTTTTCTATTTGCAAGGGATTTTTAAAAATAGGACAACATTAATTTATGAGACCTTAACTGTCTGCAGGGACACAGATCTGTCATCATGAAATGGTAAAAGTCCTCAGCGGACATTAAATTGTATTGACACAGAGCACGAGCCCACCAGCCCATGTTTCATGAACATGATAGCTGTTAACATATTAATCGGGCAAAATGTGTACTCTGTCCACATGAACAGAGGCTAAGGAAAATCCACGTTCCCCAATTCACACAATACAGCAATCACACTGAAGCATGTGGCTGGCAAGCTCCCACACCGCGTGAATGGAATGCAAAGTAACATCTGCAGAACACTACGGTTAACCTGCAATCTCAAAATCCTGAAATTACCAACTGAAAGAACATAAGAACATAAGAGACGCCAATGTTGGATCAGGCCAAAGGCCCATCCAGTCCAACACTCTGTGTCACACAGTGGCCAGAAATACCAGTGCCATCAGGAGGTCCACCAGTGGGGCCAGGACACTAGAAGCCCTCCCACTGTTGACCCCCCCCCCAAGCACCAAGCAGTCAAAGCATCACTTGCCCCAGAGCCCCTATCTATACCTTGTGGCTAATAGCCACCGATGGACCTCTGCTCCATATGCTTATCTAATTCCCTCTTGAAGTCGTCCATGTTTGTAGCCGCCACCACCGCCTGTGGCAGTGAATTCCATGTGTTAATCACTCTTAATGTGTTAAAGCAAGTTTAAACCTCTGCATAAGCTTCTAGCAAGAGATGTAGTTATAATTTACCTCTTTCAATATCATCCATAGGAGAAGTTGGAGACATCTTTTCTTTTGGTGTAGGGCATTTAACACTGTTTGAAATCCTACTTGCATTTCGCATTAGTTGCTGCTGCTGTTCAATGCGAGACTGGACCTTACTGCTTCCTTCACCTCTGGATGAAAGGGTTAGAATTTTCAGATGTCTTCAAAGAATAAAGTCCTACTCTGAGAATTTTGTGAGCTGTTCTAATTGGGTTTTTTTTTTTAAAGCCCATTTGGATTTAACAAGGCTTAAATTAGGGTTGCCAACTGTCTTACCTGGCATAGCGGGGGGGACCAGGTTCTGATCTGGGAGTTTCTCGCGCACCACAATGACATCGTCCGGAAGTGACGTCATCACGCTGGGCAGGTTGCAGGGTGACGCTCTAGCAATTGCCCTAAAATCTCTATGGTACCATAGAGTTTTCAGGGTGATTGCTAGAGCGTCACCCGGCGATGTGCCCAGTGTGATGATGTCACTTCCGGGTGACATCATCGCGCCAGGCATGTCGGCCTTATCTGGCCACTTTGGGGGTGGGGTTCCCCCCACTGGCCAAATCCGGACCGGCGGATTGGGGGCCCTTTCGGCGGGGGAACCCCCACCCCCCGGGGGGACTTGGCAGCCATAGCTTAAATCTAGTTATTATAGTGTGAGTCAGACTATGGATTTCAAACTTAAATCTTATTTTTCACTAGCAGTAGAAGTCAAGGCTTTGATGCTTAAACCTAACCTTGAGAAACAAATGTACTTTTCCTCAAAAGAAACATATAATGTATCTTTGGAGTAAGAAGGCTAAAGTAATGCTTTGTTAAAGATGTTTCAGTCCGCCTCTTCTGTTTCCTAATTTAGCTATGCCTGCTTTAACTACAGCATTTTCATAATGAGTAAAGAAACAGCCGCTTTCACCCACCTGGTCTTCTTCACAGTGATGTTGCTACTCAGTTTCTCAAGTCTACATTCTCCAGTGTCATGGTTAATAACCAATATGCATTCTTTCTGATATGGCTTCTTGGAGCCCTTGAAAACTGTTACTGGTGGAGTTGAACCCTTTTTTTAAAAAATGAGAAAAAAAAATACTGCTACCGTAGGCAATTATAAAGCTGCATTTTTCCTAAGGCAAACAGTTGTTCACTTCACCATGAAAGATCCTGTACATTTCACAACCATACTCCAAGGGCATCTGTTTCATGATTATAAAACTCTTTTCTACTGAATGGATTATGATGGAATTTGAGATGACCACTAAAAAAATGCAAGCCTCAGGTGAATTCGAGCGACCCTGTGCATCTTCAGAAGGCTTCAGGTGGCCTCGGCTTTGGATGACGTTGGATGGCTTATGCCACCTGATGGCTTGGGAACACCGAATTGGCCTTGGATGGTGCCACTGGGCTCCGGCACCCCCAGTGGAACACCAGGACTGGTGTGCCTAGCCCAATTTGGCATGCCTGGATTGGGACACCTCGGACAGAGAGCGAGCAGATGACTAACTGACCGGGTGATTTTGGTGTGTGATCTGGCTGGGCTAAATGAGGCTCTCCAACAGGATGGAAACCCCAAGCACCAAAACTGGGGGAGACATAGAGAAATCAGGGATGGGGTCATCAGAGTGGCCACTGAATGTAGCAAGGGATGCAGATGAACTATTCCCCCCCGCCGTTGAATGTGGGTCAAGTTGTGCTAACCATCCCCCCCAATCATTAGTATCTAATAAGAGACTTTAAAAAAATTATTTATTGTAGTATCTATGATAATTGGAGGGTTGAGAATTTGTTAGTACTTTTTTTTAGTACTTTTGGGAGGGTGTTGGAGTTGGGGGTGGTGGGAGATCTGGGGGGCTTATGCCGATAGGTTAGTTAGGGTGCGTTAGGATATTAGTGCTGCTGTATTAGTTAGTAATGAAAGGAAAATCTTTTTGTATTGCTGGGTTGTTGTTTGCAAGTGGGGAAGAGAAAGCAGAATGATCCTAGTCAAAATTGGGAGTGCCAGTTTTGGGCTGGGGTTCCCAGTGCTCGGGGGCTGTGGGAGCACTGTTCCCTCTAAGCTGAGTGAGTGTGAGCTAGCTCACCGGTTTTTTAGCCCCCAGCTCATACATTTTTGTCTTGGCTCAGGAAGGATGGCTCCAGAGCAGACTAATTCATGCAGGAGCCAAACCACTCACTCACAACTTTAATGCCAGTAGCTCACAAAGTAGAATTTTTGCTCACAGGACCCCACAACTTAGAGGGAACATTGTGTGGGAGTTATGGTGGTGGGAAAAGGTACTGGAATGGAAGGAGATGGAGACATGGATATGCTCACTCTCCTTCCAACCTTCATCCCGTCCCGAAACACATTGGTGTGAGGGCTAGGAATACCGACGTTGCGCAATGCCAGGCCCATTAACAACAAGACCAGAACGCTGCAGGATTACACGGCAGCGCAAAATGTGGACCTGACTTGCGTGACCAAGACCTGGGCGTGAGAAGGCAAAAGTCGCCCTGAAAGAACTGCCCCCACCAGGTTTTTCGATCCTTCATTAGTTGTGGGGGAAGGAGTGGCAATACTCATTACGGAAGGTTTCTCCTTCAGGCCACTTCCCACCCCGAGGATTGCCGGGATTGACTGTGCTGGTGTGGTCTGGGATGCTGAGGGGAGCTTGGCCATATGTCTGGTGTACTGGCCACCTAGTACACTGGCTGACAGCTACTGAGCCTGCTGGAGATGGTAGCTGGCTGGGCCTTGGAGTTCCCATGTCTGGTGGTGCTTGGGGACTTCAACGTCCATGCGGATGCTGCCACCTCCTTTCAGGCATTGGACCTAGGGTCCTCCATGGCAGCACTAGGGCCCTCCCAAATTGTATTGGGTCCCACACATCAAGCAGGCCACCTCTTTGGCACTGGGACGGGGTTGGATCTGATTACTAAGGAGGAAGTGCCATGGTCAGATCACATGGTTCTGAAGGCCCGGATGGGTAGTCCCTACCTCCACCCCGTCTAGGCGGTGAGCTGATTTATGCTCGCCCGCAGACACTAATGGATCCAACTGGTTTCCAGAATGTTCTGCGGGATCCGATGCCCCCCCCCATGACTCCTTAGATGTGCTGATAGAGGACTGAGAGTCCCGTCTCTCTGAAGCCACTGATGAAGTTGCTCCCTGAACTCCTCTTTGCCCCCACTCCAAATCATCCCCCTGGTATACTATGGAGCTTCGGGGGATGAAGCGGGAGCTTAGAAGAAGACAACAAGAAGAAGAGATTGGATTTATACCCCACCCTTCACTACCCAAGGGAGTCTCAAAGTGGCTTACAAACTCCTTTCCCTTCCCCTCCCCACAACAGACACCCTGTGAGGCAGGTGGGGCTGAGAGAGCTCTGACAGAAACTGCTCTTTTTCAAGAACAGCTCTTATCAGAACTACAGCTTGCCCAAGGTCATCCGGCCAGGTGCAAGTGGAGGAGTGGGGAATCAAACCCGGTTCTCCCAGATTAGAGTCTGCGCACTTAACCACTACACCAAACTAGAGTAAGTTTGGTGGCATGCTCACGATGAAGCTACAAGAGCATCTTATAGGACGTTTATGAAATCGTATGAGATGGTGAAGGCTGCAAAAAGAGACTTTTACTGAGCCTCCATCACACCCGCTCGCTCTCACCCAGCACAACTGTTTAGGGCAGGGGTGTCGAACTCATTTGTTACAAGGGCCAGATCTGACATAAATGGGACTTTGTGGGGCCAGGCCATGCATGTCATAAAATGTAATGCCAGGTAAGCAGAGATATAAACTTTATAAGAGATACAAACACAATTAAAGATATTATTTTTTTTGCTTAAAATACAAATATGTTTAAAACTTTTGCGATACTTTGTTTATTTAGCAGTCTGATAACTGACACCTCCCATCCATTCTCAGGCACCCATTCAGCAGAGATAAGCTGGCTCAAAACATCAACCCTGTACTCTGAAGGCGACAACTCCAGCAAGCAACAGCTTCAACTATACAAACACTGGAAAGTGAAACTTCTTGAGCTCCACTCCACTGAAATACATTGTAGCACAAAGTTGCAAAGAAAATGTGGAATGGATTTCCCATTAAGGTCTCTGAGCCCAGATAAGACTATGGGACTGGAATGACAACCACCAGAGTAAAATGACAGCCCCTGGGAGTAGCAGAAGTGTTCTGGGATTGGAATGAGGAGCTCCAGAGTGGAATTCCATTCCCAGAATGCTGCTGCTACTCCCAGGGGCTGTTATTCCACTTTGCACCCTGTCATTCCAGTCCTAGAACACAGATTCTATTGCTAGGGACCATCATTCTACTCTGAGGGCTGTCATTCCAGTCCCAGAGCGCTGTTTCTATTGCTGGAAACAATCCTAGAGTAGTCTATCTGGGTGCAGAGACCTTAATGGAAAAATCCATTCTGTATTTTCTTTGTAACTTTGCAAGCTCAGAAGAGCTTCCTGCCAAAGCAGGAAAAACCAAGGAGGAGGGAGCCTGGAACTTCAGCAGCCTCAAACTTCAAAGGGGGAGGACAGGAGGGGGAGGAGGGGGGAAGAAAAGGGCCATGGGCCTGATTAAAGCCATGGGCAAGCCGCTTCTGGCCCACGGGCCTTAAGTTTGACACCCCTGGTTTAGGGTGTTTTGTTCTTTAACCTCTCTTGCTAAGAGGACACAAAATATTAGTAATTTGGCCATTAGCTGTGAGGCATCTGCAAGCTTTTTTGCTGATAAAGTCATGTCACGCTGCCACAACCTGCCAGCCAATGTTGATACAGTACATGGAGGCCCCTTGGCTCCCTTTGGATTCAGTATTCAACACCTTCAGCCAGCTCTTGCTGACTGATGCCAGTAGGATCCTGGGTGCTGTTAGGCCTACCATACGTCTCCTGGATCCGTGTCCCTCGTGGCTGGTGAAAGCCAGTGGTGATGGAATACAAGCCCCTCTGATGGACATTATCAATCTATCCCTAGATTTGGGGGTCTATCCAGAGGGTCTGAAAGAGGCTGTGGTAATACCGCTCTTGAAACAGCCATCCTTGGATCCTTTAGATCCTTCCAATTACCGCCCAGTTTCAAACTTATCATTCCTGGGCAAGGTAATTGAGAGGGCAGTAGCCGCACAGCGTTTCCTGGATGACACATTGGCCTTAGATCCATTGGAGTCTGGCTTCCACCCTGGCCATGGGATGGAGAAGGTGTTGGTTGCCCTCGGGACGATCTCCGTAGGCAGCTAGACTGAGGCGGGTCAGTGCTGCTGTTATTGTTAGATCTTACAGCAGCATTTGACACAGATGACCATGATCTGTTGACCCAGTGCCTCGCCGACATAACGAGTTCATGGGGTGGTCTTACAGTGGCTTACCTCATTCCTCCGAGATCGGGGACAGAGGGTGGCTCTATGAGGGCAGAGAGCCAGTTTGATGTAGTGGTTAAGTGCACGGACTCTAATCTGGGAGAACCAGGTTTGATTCCCCACTCCTCCACTTGCACCTGCTGATGTGACCTTGGGTCAGTCACAAGCTCTGGCACAGCTGTCCTTGAAAAAGAGCAGTTTGTGTCAGAGTTCTCTCAGCCCCACCCACCTCACAGGGTGTCTGTTGTGGGGAGGGGAAGGGAAAGGAGTTTGTAAGCCGCTCTGAGACTCCAAGTGAAGGGCGGGGTATAAATCCAATCTCCTTCTCCTCCTCTATGGGGGAGGGGTAAAAATCTAATAAATATCATCAACAACAACAAGGTTCCCCTTAACTTGTGGGGTTCCCCAGGGGACCATTCTCTCCCCAATGTTGTTCAACATCTATATGAGCCCCCTTGCCCAGGTGGCACGGAGCTTCGGGCTAGGGTGTCATCTGTGTCTTTTAACAGGCGGCCGCCTGGATTCCCCCCACAAAATCTGGCTGAGGGACTGGAGGCCACGGTGGGATGTTTGAGGAAGAGTTGACTGAAACTGAATCCAACTAAGACGGAGGCTCTGTGGCTGGGGGGGGAATTCAGGACTGGGGTCCCAGCTTCCCATTCTTGATGGTGCACCTCTAATACCAGTGCAAACGGTCAAAGAGTTTTTGGGCGTGGTCTTGGATACCTCCTTATCAATGTAGATCCAGATCACAAATGTTGCCAGGCTGGCATTCTACCAGCGAGGCGAGGCAGCTGGCCCCTTTCCTGTCTCGCCCTGACCTAGCCACAGTAATTCACGCAACAGTCACCTCTAGATTGGAAGGATCACAAATGTTGCCAGGCTGGCATTCTACCAGCGAGGCGAGGCAGCTGGCCCCTTTCCTGTCTCGCCCTGACCTAGCCACAGTAATTCACGCAACAGTCACCTCTAGATTGGAAGACTGTAACTCGCTCTAGGTTGGCCTGCCCTTGGGACTGACCCGGAAACTCCTACTGGTCCAGAATGTGGCAGCGTGGGTTCTGACTGGAACACCATAAACCACAGACACTCAGCCTGTGCTGTGCCAGCTGCAACTGGCTCCCAGTGGAATACCAGGTCAGATTAAAAGCAGGGGTCATTTCCTGCGGGAGCGCACAGGAGCGGAGCTCCGGCAGTAAGGAGCCCAGGCGGGCGGGCACATGCAACAAGCCCCCACCCCCTGCTCCCAGCAGCCCTCAGTTGGGCCACGAGGAGCAAGAAGCAGCCAGGTAAGTTGCAGAGCCCCACCCCCGGCCCGCCTTCAGGTAGAAGCTCTCCCTCCTCTGTGAGGGCAGATCTGTGCGTTCCCCCATCCCATAGCTAGCCTGAGCCTGAGTGGTGGGTGTTGCCTTCTGACACACTTCCGGTGAGGTCAGGGGGTGTGGTGCATGCAAATGACTTATGCTAATGAGTTATGCTAATGAGCTCCTGCACCTCTTTTTCTACGAAATGACCCCTGATTCAAAGTTTTCGTACTGATCTTTAAGGCCCTGAGCAGTCTGGGACCTACGTCTCTTCCGAGACCGCCTCCTCTAATATGTCCCCTGAAGAGCTCTATGCTCCACTGGAAATAACCTACTGGTGATCCCTAGCCCTAAAGACACCCGGCTGTCCTCAACCAGAGCCAAGGCCTTTTCAGACCTGGCTCCTACCTGGTGGAACTCTCTGCCAAATAACATCCATGTCCTGCAGGACCTGATGCAGTTCCACAGGACATGTAAGGCAGAGATGTTCCACCAGGCTTTTGGTTAAGGACAGCAATGGGTACCACCTACCTGGCACTCCCCCCCCCCTCCATTTTGCTGTCTCCCGCTTGCAGGACAGTAATGCATATTTTATCTTGGTGCCATCTGATGTTTCTTTGATTTTAACTTGACTGTTTTAATTTCAGTTTTATATAGTATTTTTTTGTTTTTGGAAACCGCACTGAGCCTTATGAACTCAGGGAAGGGAAGTATGTAAATTGAACTTATAAATAAATAAATGCTACTAAAATAGACTGGCTTATAATAACAAAACCCAGACAACTTTTTTCCAACGTTTGCTATGAGTTTGAATTCAGACCTGGGGTACACATGCATGTCAGAGAGAGGTGACTCATTCTCTTCACTTGTCAGAACCATTCAGAAGAAGAAGAGAGAAGAGATTGGATTTATACCCTGCCCTTCACTACCCGAAGGTGTCTCAGAGCGGCTTACAAACTCCTTTCCCTTCCCCTCCCCACAACAGACACCCTGTGAGGTAGGTGGGGCTGAGAGAGCTCTGACAGAAACTGCTCTTTTTCAAGGACAGCTGTGCCAGAACTATGGCTTGCCCAAGGTCATCCAGCAGGTGCAAGTGGAGGAGTGGGGAATCAAACTCAGTTCTCCCAGATTAGAGTCCGCGCACTTAACCACTACACCAAACTGGCTCTCCTTAACTTCAAAACACGAACAATGTGCTAGTTATAATCAAAAGCAAGTCCATGTTGGCATCAGCAGCTGCAATCAACCATTACCACAGACAGAACTATCCACTTGATTTCTGGAATTGTACCAAAACATCACGTCATCAAAGAATTTACCATCTGGGAACCCAAATCTGAAATTGACCTCATCTGTTGAGGCTTAGAAACACAGGAGTATTACTGATGTATTTTAATTGTTTCTAATTGTATATTATATTTGATGGAACCCACCCTGAGCCTGCTATGCAGGGAGGGCGGGATACAAATCTAATAAAATAAATAAACTTTTGGACAGCATGGTACCTGCTCTTGTCAAATGGTTTCAAGGGTACATAATTTTAGCTATGTAAGCTACCAGTTTTAAAGATATTTTGGCATATTTTAAAATGATGAGGTGATCATCTCACCGGCACAATCATTACATTGCCTTGAATAATTCAATTTTATCTTAGCTTTCCTGGGTATAACCTGTCTCTCTAATCTATTTGAGCAATAAACAAGAATGTAGACATTTGTTTGGCCAGGTACTGGAGTGAATTAGGGGAATGATACATGGGATATCGAAGAGTAACAGGAAATGTACCAGGCAAGCTATGGAGAGGGGCAAGGCGCTATCCCCATAAAATGGAAAATGAGGAGGGTACTGTTTCACTTGGGGGGGGGGCACCATAATTGCTGGAAGTTTCCTATCACTGTGTCTGAAGGCAGAGAAATTTCAACCTTCTGTCGTAGTGGAGGACACCCTCCTCCAAAATTTACCATCCAATTTGAGCCGAAGCATCTAGAAACTTGAGTAAATGCAGTAGAGGCTCGATTACCCAACATTTCTTTGTTATTGTAGTTACAATAACAACATAATGTTCTCTCTTATTCACACATTTGGGATTTGTTCACAACTGAGGCTGCAAATGGCAGAACAGCTCACAAAGGCTGTAGCCCTAAATGTCCTTACAAGGAAACCAGTTCTGTTTCACACTTTATACAGCAATCATGTCTGCAACAGTTACATTGATTTTCCAACAGTAAACAAATATAGACTAACAGTAAACAAATACAGCAGACAGTTCCCTACATACACCTTTTGTGGAGCTTTGGAGCTTTAATTGACTATGGCTGCCCAATGCATGTTTAGAAAAAGCACATCTGCCCTTCTCACTGTGTGGGTTAACCACAGGAAACACAGGCATAACCATGGCAAATGTGGTTGCCATGTTGGGTTTTATATTCACAAAGTGTTATGCTTGAGACAGTAAGCTATACTCTTTTCATTCATTCTCACCTCAATATTTGGTAAAGTTATTGTCACTTGTTCACCTTTACCAACTTCAAGGTCTCCTTCACAGGATGTATCGATTGATGCAGGTTTGAAGTCATCTAAATAAAGAATAATAAAACAAGTAAGGGGTGTGCTTTTTAGGACTCCTTTAGGCAGTAATGCATTCACAGCCAAGATAGGGAAGTGCTGGCTCATTCAACTGATATCTTTTCTAATGCAGGCTTATTTAGGATCTTATCCAAGAACCTACAGCATTTACAGTCCAGAAGGTTTGGCTGATCTATATCTTAGAGCTCATCACAAAAGGACCAAATGTAATATTTTAGGAGGAGTATAATTGTTGCCTCATATTCAAAAAATAATTAGGGAAAAACTAAAATTCAAGAAAATAATATTACTAAGTTTCACAGTAAAGGGTAAGTGAAGTCCGAAACCAGATTTAAATTATTCCAAAACACTTACAGCAGGGACAACAACAACTCTAAATATACCAATAGAAAAGATCAGATCAGATCTTTACAAAAGAAGAAACAGCTGAGATATTTAAAATACTCAGCTTTACTTTTAAGAGTTCTGCACATTTTTAATATAATGGAGTTAAAAAGATTTAATACATGCTATAGATGTTCAGAGACTACAGCTACAAGAATGTAAGTGAACATCTTTATGGCATACTTCACTCTACCATCTTTTTTTTTACCATCTGAATCTGAAAATATTAATGAATATACAATATTAATGAAAATTACTGAATTTAATGACAATCAGCAGAGTTAGTACTAAATATTTAAGAACTATGTATTTTAAAATACTGTTTTGTTATTGCTAAACACTTTGAAAGGCCAGAAAATTGTTAGCGTATCTAGCTTGTTTATTGCTAGTTTTTATTTTTACTGTAGTGATAGTCCTACCAACCAGGGGTCATTTCCTGCAGGAGTGCACAGGAGCGGAGCTCTGGCAGTAAAGAGCCCAGGGGGTGGGCACATGCAACAAGCCCCCCCCCCTGCTCCCAGCAGCCCTCAGTCAGAGCAAGCAGCCAGGTAGTTTGCAAAGCCCCCCCCCCGGCCCCCCGGTCCAAAACAGTCCAGTGGCACCTTTAAGACCAAGTGTTATTCAGGTACAAGCTCTCCCTCCTCTGCAAGGACAGATCTGCACATTCCCCCCCCCCAATAGCTAGCAATCCAAAACAGTCCAGTGGAGCCTGAGGGGTGGGTGTTGCCTTCTGACACACTTCCGGTGATGTCAGGGGGTGTGGCATATGCAAATAAGTTATGCTAATGAGCTCCTGCACCTCTTTTTCTACGAAATGACCGCTGAGTGGCACTCCTGTGGTCCTCCTCTCCGTCCCTTGCCTGAGATGGACGGTGAACTCTACCCCCTTGCTACAGGGCCCCGGATTGGCTCTGGCGGCCTTGTCCATCATAGTGGCACCGCTTCCACACACTGCCTCCACTGACCCTTGCAGCTCAGTTGCTATAGACTAAGGTTGCCAATCTCCAGGTGGTGGCTGGAGACCTCCCGCTATTACAACTGGTCTCCAGTTAGCAGAAATCAGTTCACCTGGAGAAAATGGCCACTGCGGAAGGTGGACTCTATGACATATCCCATTAAAGTCCCTCCTCTCCCCAAACCCCACCCTCAAAATCTCCAGGTATTTCCCAACCCAGAGCGGGCAACCCTACTATAGACACTGACCCGGTTCTGAACAGAAAACACTGCAAACGTACCAACTTTGTCTGCTGGCTGCTGTGCAAATTATGCCCTTAGGGAACAGACTAGCGCCGCTATAGTCACACGGCAGCTGGCCGCTACAGTGCAGGCATGCCTGAGGATTGTTCTGCCCGCCTGTTAATTATTGACAGTGTACAGGTTTAAGTACATTTTAAATAAACAGGTTTCCACCTTCCCTGTAGCTGCAAATCAGTGGGTCTCTACCTTCAGTCTCTAATATTAGTGGATCTCTGTTAAAAACCAGTGCAAATCCTAATTGCTATTCTAGTTATTTACAAGAGAGTAGGAAAAAGGTGGCTCAGTGGTTAAGACGCTGAACTGCAGGCTGGAAGGTCAGTAGTTCAGCCGTTCGAGACCCGAGTGCTGCATGATGGAGTGAGTTCCCGTCTCTGGTTCCAGCTCCTGCCAAACTAGCAGTTTGAAAGCAAGAAATTGCAAGCAGGTAAATAGGTACAGCTTCTATGGGAAGGTAACAGCGTTCTGTGAGTCTCGGCGTCGTCATGCTGGCCACATGACCATGGAAACATCTTCGGACAGTGCTGGCTCTTTGGCTTGGAAACAGAGATGAGTACCGCAACCCTAGAGTCGGATTCGACTGGCTTTCGAGCAAGGGAAACCTTTACCTTAGGAACAAGGTGTCTTCAAAGCTATAAGAGTCTTAGATATTATGAAACTGCATCTTGCCCACCTCTACTGTGTCACTATGCCATGATACTGGCTTATATGTCTTCATAAATAATAGAACATGAAAGGTTCAACAGGATGGTGTATATATGTATTATCTATAAAATTCAGTAAGAGGCATTTTTATGCCACCTAGCTCCAACAACCAGAAATACATTTTTGGTTCCAAGGGCCATGCCACAATAAGCCATTATTATTTACCATCTGCTTTTAAAACATAGAAGTCTGTAGGGTACAGTCTGTTTGTTAGACAATGTCCGGTAACTGGGCTTATCTTTTAAATCTTTTTTCCCCAAACTGCACCCAGGTATTTCAGGAGATTCCCTGCTTCACAGCATATCATTCTCTAGCTGGTGGAGAACATGAGAACAAGTACACACATGCAGTGACTTTACAAAAAGTATCCACAGATTGAACTGTTTGATCATTATGATGTATTTCAGCAGTAAGCATATTTGAATGAGAACAAGTACACACATGCAGTGACTTTACAAAAAGTATCCACAGATTGAACTGTGTTAAAGGAGTTTGATCATTATTATGTATTTCAACAGTAAGCATATTTGCATTAAACTACTTTTTTATCTTGGCTTTGATTGATATTTTGAGCACTGGGGAAAAAAATCGACACTCCACAGTGTCTTCATTCATAACCCTTTGGAAAATAAGTATTATGCTAACTCTGAATAACGAGATCGCACTGTCTCAAGTTTTCCCAAATATTTTTAAAAGTTAACATAATAAACTACTTTTAAAAAAAAGTGCTTCAGGTTATCTGGAATGTGCCCTGAGTCATGATTCACCTGAACTAATAAATAGATGGTTTCTGTTTAATTCATAAATTAAATGATACACATAGGCTGCGATCACACAGACTAAATATTGCACTTTCAATCCACTTTCAATGCACTTTCCAACTGGATTTCACCAGTTCACACAGTAAAATCCCCTTGGAAAGTGCACTGAAAGTGGATTATTTCGTGTGTGTGACCGCAGCCTAAGGCTCACGCCAGCTTCTCTTTCTCCAAGGCTTCAGTGCTGGTTCTAAACTCAAGCCATCGTCTACGCCGTTTTGCCTCACACAGAGATTCAGATCAGTGAGGCGCCTGTCTGTTTAGTTTTATTATTACAGTCTTAAGACCAACATAGAGAGTAAGCATAATATGTGAGGGAGAGAGAAGAGGGGAAAAAACAGTCATAATATACAAAAATAGAAATCTGAATTTAAGAACTTTTAAAATGCAATTCCGGCTGCAATCTAAGAATTAATGCACAAAACTCAGCGCCTGAATGGGTCATCTCTGCATTCTTATCTGATAGGAGCCAGTGAAGCCTTGCTTTGTTTGTGTTAATGTGCCCAGGTGTCCTATCCACTAATGGGGGTAATAATTTTAAGACCAGCCTCCCTGTAAAATGGACAGCTGAAGAACATACGCTCTACCGATTCGACCTCGCTTAAAAGGCATGGGCATAGCCTTTCAGAGTAGGTGTTTTCGCCGCAAATGGAAGGGCAGAACACCTAGCTAGGGCAAATGCCCCTTTTAGAATTCACTCCCTCCCCTGAAGTCAAATATATTGCCGGCTCAATGGCGCTTTTGATATTTAGCAACACCCCGAGTCGCAGAGGTGTCAGATCAGGCCGCTCAATACCCTCAGCTCTTTGTTTAATCAGCCCTTTGGCTTGTTCCAATCCACAGGATAAGTGTAGCTGAGGTGAGAAGCCAATTCTATGAACATGATCGTGAACCGCCTTTATCTAACTGGATTGGGAATCGTCCCGGAATATCAGGGGAAGGAAGCCTCGGGGCAGGGGCGGATTAAGGCTCACTGGTGCCCTAAGCACTGACCCATCTTGGTGCCCCCAATCTTGGTGTCATAGACACTGCAACCTCACCAACAAAAAATAGAAGATACCCTAGGGTGGCACCATGATCAAGGTGCACTAGTTTCATCATAGCTGAGGTGAGAAGCCAATTCTATGAACATGATCGTGAACCGCCTTTATCTAACTGGATTGGGAATCGTCCTGGAATATCAGGGGAAGGAAGCCTCGGGGCAGGGGCGGATTAAGGCTCACTGGTGCCCTAAGCACTGACCTATCTTGGTGCCCCCAATCTTGGGGTCGTAGCCTATGACACTGCAACCTTGCCAACAACAAATAGAAGATAACCCTAGGGTGGCACGATGATCAAGGTGCACTAGTTTCATCAATTTTTTCTTTTTTACAAATCTTCATTTGTTTTTTTCTTTTCTTTTCACCCTTTCCCCAACTTTGTGGTGCCCCCTTTGCCCCTGGTGCCCTAAGCACGTGCTTAGTCTGCTTAATGGTTAATCCACCCCTGCCTCCTTCTCTCCCACCCACCTTCATGCCTCCCACATGCTTGTGTGTCTTTCCCTTGTCCGCTGACAAGACTCCCCACTGCACGGGGCACAGCACAGTGTGCAGCGGAAACCACGGGTGGTGCAGCGCTAGCGAGTGAGTGGGCAGGGGTTGCTGGCAGCAGTGGGCCCTGGGCCCTACAGTCACCGGCAGGGGGTGGAGGAATAGGGATGCCAGATCCAGGTTGGGAAACTCCTGGAGATTTGGGGGTGGAAGACAGGGACTTCAGTGGGGTACTATTTATTTATTTATTAATTTATTATTTACATTTCTATCCCGCCCTCCCCGGAGGCTCAGGGCAGCTTACAAGGCATATCCCCAAATAAAACAATAGAACAATACAAAATATTAAAAATACATCACAAGTACTGAACAATTTTGGTGCTCCTCTGAACCCCTTCCAAGTTCAGATTCCTAAAA